GCATAGTTTTTATCAGAACTGCAAGCCATGATCACTCCACAGATATACTGTTGTATCTTGCTTCCTCAGTGAACAACATTGCAAGTTGTATTTTGCAATTCTGATGTGTGACTACAAGAATATAAGACACAAAGCCACACAGTACGCTCTAGTTTGAGGAATTCTAGCCTCTACTCAGCTTCCCAGCTCCTTCCCCTCACCTAACCAGCATTAGTGTAGACGCAGTGCCTCATGAGTGCTGGGAGCTAGGACTCCAGGAGAAGTCACCCAGGCTTCCTGTCCCCATGAAGAGCTCACAACTTCACCTTAGCCACTGAGCCACCACTTAAGAGAAACGAGTCTACAGTATGAAACACGCTTGCAGGTGAGCTATATCCATGCTCATTCTCCTGAGGAACATGATGTTACACACAGGGAACTTTCCCACAGGTGAGATGAAACATGCTTGCAGGTGAGCTATGTTCATGCTCATTCTCCTGAGGAACATGTTACACACAGGGAACTTTCCCACAGGTGAGAATGCCATATTCTTAGTCACAGGTCAAGGAGGATCAAACAATTTACTCCTCTCCTCACCCCCCAGGACAGAGGATTGAACCCAGAGAATCACACGTGCTAGGCAAACTGTGTCCCTGAGCTGTGAGCCAACCCAATTCATTTTATGACATATCTTTTCCAACTTTTATTGCAATACTCTTTACAGCTTTCTGAGGGATGTTTTGTGTTAAAAACCACAGTAGGAGCCCTCATTATCTCAAGATGTGGGCTTCTAGATTATTCACCATTTGCCTTCTCCCATCGCACAGATTTGCATGCTACATCTGTGTATGCACTGACAGGTAATCTCAGTCCACCACTGCAGGGGAGGATGTAAAGCAAGAGGCGCTTCTACCAAATCTCAATGACTCACATGCACCTGTCACAATTTGCATCATACGCACAAACATTAGAATTGCATCTGACTTTATCCTTAAGAAAAACACATATGTTCCCCTTTGCTAGCTCCCAACTTAAGCCTGACTCTTTTTTTTCCCCAAAGATTTATTTATTCTATGTATATATGAGTACACTGTAGCTGCCTTCAGACACAACAGAAGAGGGCATCGGATCTTATCACAGATGGTTGTGAGCCACCATGTGGTTGCTGGGAATTGAACTCAGGACCTCTGGAAGAGCAGTTAGTGCTCTTAACTGCTGAACCATCTCTCCAGCCCTAAGCCTGACTCTTAAACAGTGATGAAATATGAGATAAAACAAGGTATCAGATCATAATTTTAAGTATTCCAAAATAAATTTCAAAAGGTAATGAGACAGACCTAAAGAGCAGTGGGCACTGAAGAACTACACACAATGAAGAATCCTTTCTGTATGAGGCTTCACCACATTCCAGTAGTGTGAGTATAAACCTCAGTTTTCTCACTGCAAAATTTCTAGCACACTGAATGGCACTAGAGGGAGAAGCAAACCTCTATAAAACTGAAAATCATGACAGAAGTGTCAGGGACCAGGTCCAGAGATAACTTGCTGCCCCATGCAGAGAGGCGCCACTGTCCCTTATCCTAGGTTGTCACAAAGGTGGGTTGTTCTTTTTTATATAGAAGAAAGATATTACTATGGGTGGATTTTTGGTTGATGTTTTCTAGCACAACATTGTACTTTATGAAAGTGACAGAAGTCTTGATGTTACTGGGTAGTGACTTGGCAGAAGGCTCCAGAACAATGGTTCTCAACCTTCTTAATGCTATGACCCTTTAATGCAGCTCTGTATATTGTGGTCACCCCAACCACAAAGTTACCTTTGTTACTACTTCATAACTGTAATTTTGCTACTGTTTTGAGTCCTAATACAAAAATCTGTGCTTTCTGAGGGTCTTAGGCGACCCCTGTGAAAGGGTCATGTGACCCCAGGTTAAGACCCATCACTCTGGAAGCACACTCAGGACAGTACAAGGACAGCAAAAGACTCTGTATAGTAATTTGATTCCTTACATTTTCACACTGGGCTCAGTACAGAAATGCCTACTACTGTTTCCACAGAGAATGTCTACAGCTGTGAGCATGGGCTGTACTGCAGTTCCCCTGTCAGTATCTGAAAGGCACCAGAGGCATCAAAGTGTCACTAGTGGTTTTAACCCTTGGAGACTGAAATGGATTTGTTTGCTGATGTTTTGCATTAATGAAGATTACCTACCAGGTCCCTAATGACCCTTGTTTATAACAGACCTCCCAGGAAGCAGGAACCTACACACAAACTGAAATAAACACCAGTGCAGGAGTTACTCTCTCCAGAGATCTGAAAGTAGCAGAGGGCAATCTCCACACCAACCATCCAAACAAGCTCTGCATCAGAGCAATTAGGAAACTGTCTCTGCACTGAACACACAGGGATGTCTTCATCACTACTGACAGCACGGCTGACAGCACAGCACCAGCTCCACAGAGTGGTCACATCATAATAGGCAACGGAAGCCATGGAGCAACCATCTAAAGTATGTGGGAAGCTGTGCATTTACATGTAAACACTAAGAGGAGGAGGAACTTTGAGCATCTGGGAGCTGTATGTGCGTCAGAGGAATGCTGCTGGACTCAAACCCACGTAGACAGTAAGCAGGGAGAGCGATTAGCCGATGCCGGGCTTTTCTCTCATCTTACAGAAATACAGAAAACACACACCTGGATAACTAATATGGGAAAAGTCCCCTCTCCAATGACATTGAGAAGAGATAAAGCATCTGTATTCGGCTTTTTACGCACATGTGTATGTGCATGAATGTATGTGCAGGTGTGTGTGCATGCTCACATGTTCGTATTCCAGGCATCCTTCAGTTCTCTCTTCCCAGTGCAGGAATTACAGTGTCACTGTGCCTGGTGTTCTTCTGTGGTTCTATGGACTGAACTGGAGTCCTGATGGTGAGGCAAACACTCTACTGACTGGATTCTCGTCTGCTCTTAATGTACTTATTATGAGGAGTAAAAGTGCTAGCCAAGATTCTCAAGTTTGACCCCTAATATAGCATGAATGTAACAAACAGAGGATGGGTTCTCCCAATCAAACCCACAGCAGCTGTCATCCTAGCTTGAATGCCCATCACCAGTCTGTCACTCCATCGCCTGCTTTAATATCTTACTTGTTTTTTCCCAACAGTACATAATAGAATTTTTCTCTTTTTACTACCTCCTAGTATTCTATTATGTCAATGTTCTACTGTTTCTTCCCAGACTACCTTAGCTGGTTATTTCCAATCTTTTGCTCTTAATGTATGTTTTGATGAAAAAAAGTATTCACTTGGGTTCAATCTAAACAAATCAGATCCCCAAAAGGGACAGACAAACTTTGGTCAAAGGGCAAAAGGCATCTTAATTTTACTAGCTAGCTAGCAGTCTGTCCTTCACAGATACTGTGCCATTCTGTATGAAGATCATCTAGAGATGTTCATATGCTTGGCGGCTACTCCCCAGCTCTGACTCATTAGATAAGGAACTGTTCCTAAGAAGGGCGGTTTTAAAGCTATCTGAAAAACATATTCATTCAACAAATCTCTACTCTAAAAGGTATCTTTTGTCTTATTGATACTGTTCAAACCCAAAAGTAAGTATTCTTTCCACTCCATGGCATTCATTGAATAGACTTCCGGAGTGTTCATTACGAGCTCAGCACTGCAGATGTGCCGAGCAGAGATGAGCGACAATGCTGATCAGCAGGAGTCCTAGGGTTTGTCACGGAGAGGACTTAACAGAGGACAACTAGACATAGAGAGAGTGTCTGAACAGGTAACCACTAACACTTCATACAGAAAGCACAAGGGAAACAGGAATCACAGGCTGCAGAAGCATGTGGAGACCAGATCACTGACACTACTATGTCACCCTGTCAGCACAGGCAGTCATGGGAAGATTTTCAGGTCAAGAATGACATGGCCAGACTGGTGACTTAGATGTGTGGACAAGCGACTAGAACCTCATGTTCCACACAGTGAGAGGAGGACAGCTCAAAAGTAACGTAGCACTGAGCAGTGAGGGTACAGCCTTTCATTCGAGCTATGGATAGGCAGAGGCAAGCTGAGCTCTGAGTTTGAGGCCAGCCTGGTCTATAGAGTTATGGTACAGCCAGAGCTACACAGAGAAACCCTGTCTCAGAAACAACAACATAACACACTTACTCAGTAATAGTAACCCAGATAAAGGTCTGAATTAGGAGAACAACTCTTAGGAGATAAGGAGGCAGGCACAGAGGCTGGATATAGAAAGGTAAATGGACATACACAAGGTTATCAATCCATTACCAGCATCTAAGACTGATACTGTGTACTGACTCAGCCATAGTCTTATCTTATCCTGGAATCTGTGAGGCTGGGACAGAGGTCAGAATCCAAAAAACAAAAAGGCAGGACCAGTTTATCCTCCTTAACATGATCCTCTAACACACCAAGTAAGGCAGCCATAAGGCAATGCCAACAAGGCAAGAAGACATTAAGTAGCCATGCTTCTGATGCGCCCTCCCATGTGTGAGTATCTTGATCCCATGCTCCTCTGTGACTATGAAGGTAGCTAGTAACCTAGGGAACTGTACCAGCATAAGTAAGACAGTGCTGAGAAGAGCATGTGGCTGAGGGGCAGCCGCAGAAAAAGCTGCTTTCCACAGACTTAGCACAGCTCTACATTAGCCTGGCATTTTCCACAATCTGGAATTCTGCCACCAAAAAAGGGCATCCTTTTAGCAGTAAGCAAGTCTAGTGATCGTCCCACTGAACCCTTCCCCAACTCATGTAAGCCCAGGGGCTCTGTGGGATGAACAGGAGGGATTGTGTATAACCCATCTTAAACCTTGTACCTCTCTTTCTTCTCAGGAAGCCTGAAAAACTTAACCGAAACCAAAAACTAGCCAACAACCATCAGATGAAAACAAGCCCACTGCTTAACCACCCAGGAGTAACACACACACACACACACAAACACACACACACACACACACACACAAACACACACACACCAAACCTTACCTTTCTTTTATCTTCATCTGCTGTTTCAAATTTGAAAGTAGCCCTATGCTGAGGAGGCAAAAGGGAAACATTGTCATTTTAATATATAAGCTTTAAAGATTTCTAAACAAAATATATAATCTTTAATAAATATTGTTCTCTCATCTCAATATTCTTATTGAAGTAAGACAGACGTGTAAGTAAATAAACGTAAAGCCACATGAAAGGATTATGGCAGAAATACAATAGGAGAAAGAGAGAATTAAGACAGCAACTACCCAAAGAGGTGGAATGGTTAGCGCACGGCGCGGGACATCTGAGTGCACTCTGAGGGATAATGAGGAGTTTGCTGTAGGTGTGTGAACTTCTGTGACATACTTGTGAAGCTGGCAGCTGAGACTGAAGCATGGGACATATTAGGGGATGGCACCTGAGAACTGGAGAATGGAAGCACAGACCAGAATGAGATTTGGAAAGGCCTTTCGGTGTGCTGGGATTTTCTTTTTTGCATTCCATAAGAAATCATCAGAGAACTGCAGAGACAGACAACCTGCAAAAAGGCTCCCTCACTTACTAGCTGTGACTTCAAGCTAGTAAACTATACCTGGGTTCCTCTTATGAAAATGAAGGAATCCTTAGCTCAGAGGGGGGTTGCGAGGGTTCTGACAGTTATGCCACATAAAATATCTCACTACCTGGCAAGTGGCTAACAGTCTACATTAGGATGCTGCTGTTCCTACTGCTGTTGCTGCTGCTGTTCCTGCTGCTGCTGCTGCTGCTGCTAATGATATTAAGGAAAATTAACTGGAAGGGAGGAAGGCGTCGTGGCTCCCCAGGAATGATTGGCCAGAGTGTATGCTTTCCACTGTGTAGCAGAGCAGAGGCAGATGGGTAGAGTAACTGGCTTGTTTGCATAGGGAGTGGTGGTCACAAACCTGAAGCGTAGAATTACGACTCTCATATTCTCTCTCAGAGAGCATGTGCTCTCTGAATTTATCCCACCTGAGCTCTTCCTGAGGCAAACCAATGAGCCACTCCTCCGCATGCTCTACTTTCCTGTTTATCTCACCGTCCACACTGACCAGCAGAACTGGCCACTCACCACAAGAAAAGGACATTAAGTGTGAAAGACAGCATCGTTTGGTGGTTCTGTTTTGCAGCTTTGTAGGAACAGTTTTTGAAATCAAAGGAGCTGTAGAAATGTTGGGAGGGAGGCAGTTTTGAGCGTAAGAAATAGTTAAGGGGGAGACAAGAAGGTAAGAGAAAAGGTCAAGGAAACTCAGGGAGGCTACTCGAGCACCAATGCAAACCCACTGGTTGCAGAGAGAAGGGACAGACCTAAAACTTTACATCTGAAATGATAACAGGCTACAGATGACCAGGGAAGACCAGGATGGAGTATGAACAGTGTGAGTATTTTGTGCAGTAGCTCATAGGCCAGCTCAAGGAGAGCAAGACTGAAGGCAGAAAGCCATGTGAGGAGTGGACATCCCAAGCTGGCAGATACTGCCCAAAGCAGTACCATCTGACACAAGCCTTTAAAGGGAGAGTGATTTGGCAACACAGACTAGAAGCCATAAAAATATTTACCCCATTTGACCCAGAACTCCTACTCCTATTATTTATTTTACTGGAGTCATGCAGAATGAGAGGAAAAATTATGTACATAAGCACACTCACAACAGAGTCTTCTAATATAGTCAAAGAAGCAAGCTGGATGTAAGATGTGTATAATCACAATATTCTGTTGAACATATACTCACCTGATTAGACATTATATAGCAACTAAAAGAAAGGTGACTCATCAGGATTATTTTATAATAAAAGATCTTTGGAATAAAAGATGAAGAAAGAATAAATAAACAAGGAAGGGAGGAAAGGGGAGGAAAGAGGAAAAGGAGGAGGTCATAAATCTGAGGGCTATTACTTAGGAAGTCACAGACCCAAGGTTCACTGAAACTCAATTCTAAAGATAAGGAGGTAGCAAGCTAATAATGTTCTATGTGAAGTTCAGTAAAGGCTCCCTGTACTTAGAAACCAAAACATCTTAGTTTTGCCATTCTACATAAAACGTTACTTTCTGTAAATGATTTGGAATAAATATATCTAGTTATTAAAAGTTAATATTTTTCCTAAAAATATTTTTTTGGCATTTATAAAGAAAGGACAGGGTAAAGGTAATTACTTGGGGGAAGATACTCAGTAAGTTACAAAAATATCTTCTAAGCATTTCCTATACAGAGCTACTCTTTTAAAGACAGCATCAAGGGCTGGCTGCTCACTTTTCTGTTGCTTATTCACTGCAGGTCTGATCATAAAATAACACTTTTAAATAATAAATTTAAAATAACAATAAAATAACATTTTACAAATAAGTTCTCAAAAGCCCATCTAGGCACCATGACAGCTTATTTAGAAACTATACTAGCATATGGGCGCTAGAAATTACCTCAAAAATCATTTGTACCCAGCAGATGCTGGGGTCTATAAGGCTAGCTTCATTTATCCAAGCTAGATAAGACCTAACATGCTCTCTGCCTCTCCTTCCAACGCTTTTAAAAGACTTAATTCTGAGTGTCTCAGGCTCGCCTTGAACTTTCAATCTTGTTGCCTCACTCCCCGTTCTAAAGCTCAACTGGTAGGAAGAGAACAGGCATCCTAGGTGTGGCTGCCTCAGCTGTTAGGCAACTAACACCTGCTTTTATATACTTCATTTCCAGAACAGGAGCAAGTCAAATATAAATCAAAGAGTAAACTCACTGTTCACTTTAAAGACTAAGAAAGCTAGAACCTCTCAGTGACACACCAGACTCAGGACTGCAGGCTCATCACATAAAAGAAGCCCTGAAAAACCTCAGGTATCACACAGCCTCAAGTTTGAGTCCAGTCCCACTGCTTACTCTGTGCAAGCCTGGCCAGGCTGCACTTTACTATCCATAAGGTTTTCCTTACTTTTTATATGTTATGGCTGGCACTTTGCACATGGTAGGTATTCATACATGGCTACTACTGTTGTTACTGCGTGATCCCTGCTCTAGTATCTGGCTAAACACTTATCTATTAGAGAATTCAGAGTTAGTTCACTGATGTCTACAAATACATTCAAAGACTACTTCTTAAATGTCGAAATAGACTGTAGAACAATCTGGAACTAAGAACAAAGTGTAACAAGAATATCTCTATGCAAAAAACCTAGGGCAAGCCCAAAGTCAAAGCTCAGCCTCAGAAACATGGGAAGCAGAACACCCTCCTCCATGGTCCAGGGTATTTAAACCCCCATTCCAATGCAGAGCTGCGCTTCCATCAGCCTCCTTCTCCAGCACATGGACGATGAGCTCGAGCCAGCAGCAGTCTTCCTTTCCTGCACCTAGTTCTTGGAGACCTACTTCAGTGACAGTATCTTAAGCAACTTTTTACTCTTCATCTGACCATAAACGTGCCCTATTTCCAATACGGAATCCTGCTGAAAATGGCTATGGGACAGTGACATGCCCAGGTGGCCTCTAGGGCTTGTCACGTCATCTATCAACTAGTAAGTCATATTGAAGACCACAAGTCACTTTCTTTACCTAGTTGACCAATTCAATTCCTTCAGCTCAATAGCAGAGCATAGTTTTACCAAAAGCAAAACCTTGGGTTCAATGTTTAGTGCCGCTTCAAACTCTTGTGGTTCAAAAAAAAATCACAATGTGGCCAGGCAGCAGCACACACCGTTAATTCTAGCACTGGGGAGACAGTGGCAGGCAGAGCTCTGAGTTCAGGCCAGCCTGGTCTTCAGAGCAAGCTCCATCACAGGCAGGGCTACACAGAGAATCTGTTATGAAAACAACAGCAAAATCACAATACAATTACAATGTACCTCAGGTCCATGATAATAAAGATAATGACAACAAACAACCTCTTTAGTGAACCTGTTGTCAGAACAGACTCTGGAGGAAGTCAAGACCAAAGCAAGACATCTCAAAATGAACAGCTCAGTCTGTAACTAAAGGAGAATGCTTAGGCTCACCAGTGACAAACAAGGTAGTATACTGCACCTGAAAATAAACCAAAACCTTCCTATGTTCAAAAGCAGAATCAACAAGGGAAAGGTAGCACAGCCCTGCAACCATGACCTAGGTCAGGAATCTAAAGACCACAGACGCCTCCAGTCCTCACTATGTGTTCCTGAGCCCGCAAGCAATCACTGTGTTAGAGAAACATGAAAATGCTTCCATCTCCTTTCTAACTTTTAATGTAAGAGGACTGTATGTGTAAATTCCTAGGAAATTACACAGCACCTAAAAGGTGCTTAATAAATGTTAACAGGAGAATTTAAGAGCGAGAAACAGCCACTCTTATTTCAAAGAATTATTTTCCTATTCTGAAGCAAGTTACCCTTGACAAACAGACACTTTTTTTTCCTTTATGGGACTGAGATTTCTCTCCCTAAAATAACAATAGCCAGTGAATGAAGCAAGAATGCTTAGAAATGAATTTCTGCACAGAGAAATTAGGTGTATTCTAGAGTCAGATAGGTACTGTCCTCTCTGAATGCAGTAAGAGATATACCATGGTAATGGTATCCTTAGAAGGTACAAAGGCTAAAAGAGTGACAAAGATCCCCAAATCTCTTACGGTGTTACATCAATGCAGTGCCCCATGCCTTGCTGGAAGCAAACACCCATAGGCTGCTTCCTGGGCAGCAGGCCCTGTTCTAGATACTTTACACACAGAACCCAGGCCTGACAAAAGCATTACGGTACAGATGCTTCTTTCCTCTTCGGTTGACAGAGGACTATAAAGCCAAGTAAAGCACCGTGGACTTGTGCATACACGTTGTAAATGGAGAATCAGTATTCGGGGAGTCTGGCTCCAGAGCCTGTACTCTGGCCACACCTTGCCATGAAGGAGCTTGAGTATTAGCGCCTCACAACTTAACAGGGGAGCACTTCATAGGCACACTGTGCTTAGTGCTTGGCACTCAATTTCAATTAATCTAATCCACACAAGAAATAAAAAGAATGGTGTTTGCATCCCTCCTTTACAGACAAGGCAATTGGGACTCAGAGGTTTAAAATAACATATCCATAGTCATGAAGCTGTTAACAGCAAAGCTGACATTAGGACCAAGGATCATCAGATACCAGCTCCCATCTTCTTTCTACTACACTTGCAATGACCAGCTTATTAGAAATGAGGTAACATAAAGAGCCTCCTCTGCCAAACAATGAACAGGTCTCTCCACCCTGCTCACTCCTCAGTGCCTGCAGCCACTTCTTACTCTACACAAGTTTCAAATCCGTTTTTCCAGATAAGAAGTCTAAGGGCATGCTATGCATCTAAGGGCTATGCATCTACTTTTGGGGGTTTCAGACCCCACACACCATAAATCAGGACAGTTTACTTCTTCTCTTCCTGCCTGAGCACAGATGCATAGAGTCCTTCCTATCCACAGCATCCGGCTCTCCCTGTGAGGGCAGTACTGCACTGCAACATGAGGTTCAGAATTCTTGGGCTCCAACCAGCCTTACTGTATGGTTCCTACCATAAGCAACAGTGAACACAAACGTTCCTCCTGACACGGTAACTGCTGGAACAGTCATATCAAGCTGGAACAGTCTCAGGCTCGGCTTGGCCTTTCGAGATATTGCCTTAACAAAAAAAGATGATCCTAACGACTCTGAGAACATTTCCAATATGAAAAGGGGAAGCCAAGCTCTGACAGGATGTAGCCATGAGTGATAGGAAACCAACCTGAAGGGATATCAGGGAGAGGAAAGGATGAATTGGAGGAAACAAATAAAAACGGGACCTAATTATTAGTTCAGCTACAACATAGTGATGGTGGACTCAGATTGCAGTGTAGCTTTTCCTCCTCCCTGTCCTGTAGAAAAAAATGTTCCTATTATTGCTAGCTAGCTAGCATATAGTAAATGCTAAATAAACAGTTAATAAAAGTTAATTCAACACAATAGTCAAATTATTAGACTTCTTTTTGAAAATCAGTTTGTAGCTCCCCATATCTTCTCTGGAAAGCAATAATAAATCAAGTTAAATTAATACAATATACGCAGTATGTACACCTACGCATTAAATGAGTTTCTCCTAAATCGGGCAGATATGATCAACACTAAAACATATCAGGTGAAGGGGCTAAGACGTGACTAGACTACAGCCCCTGTATCCTACCTAAGAAAGCAGCACAGCAAAAAGGCACTAGACTTAGTTGGACAGCTAGACTCAACTCTCAGTCCCATTCTTCATTGGCTATGTGAATTTTTGGGAATACATTATCATCCTAAGTGTAACTATTTGTGAAATGAGAAATATCCTCCTCACTGTACTCACTAGATTCCTGGGGAGAGTAAGTGGGAACAAAGGTTCTTTTAAACAAGAAGTGTGTCCCTTCTGGGGGTATTTCCTACTAAGCGTGGGACTGTCATACTGGCAGTTCACTGACACAACATATATGAGAGCGGAATAGTGGACACAGAAGAGAAGGTAAGATTGTGGACAGGAGCATAAAGCCATGTTTCTTTCAATGACAGCTGATAAACAGGAAGGGAAAAGGGGAAGAAGAAGGTATACATAGGGTATAACTTGGTGGGTGGGTCTTCAGAGAAGAGTCATCAAGTATTCTCACAGAAGGGTCTTCAGAGAAGAGAGTCATCAAGTATTCTCATAGAAGCCTAGTCTCCTAAATGGCCTAAATGTGTTAGGTTGGCTACTTAATAAAGCAAGCATGTGAAATTTCTGGAAGGAAAAGAAAGGGAGATCTAATGGTTCTTGGAGAGAGAGGTTCTCTAGAGATGGAAGTGGTATTACTAACAAGATACCATTTCACTCTAGTGAGAGAACAGTGGATAGCTAGTTTGAAAACTTAGGTGGGAAGACTCTGGCTCCCAGGAATGACCTTGGGCTAGTTATTTAGCCCATCTGGAGTCTGCATTGCAAAACATAGATAATACCTCACAGGATTGCTGTCAAGATTAAATGAGATAACGGATAGAAAAGCTGTTAATGCGATACAAATAACAGGTATTATTAGGAGTTGGATTTTCCACCCACTTGCAACATATGTCCATGACCTTGGGGCGTGATTTCACTTGTTTGCACCTCGGTTTCCTCATCTACAAAATGGGAAGGATGATACCATCTACCCTATAAGCACTCTGAGGATCAAAGGAGATCACATAGAAGACATTAATGCCTGGTAAACCATACAATGGTACAGGTACAAAGACCTGCCATCGTTGCTGATGTGTTTTATGCATGTCAAGGGCTGTGTTTATGCAGAGAAGCATGTATTTTCACACTATACAGGTGAGAAAGCCTCGCATGCATTTTATGCATCCAGGAATGAGGCACTGGGCAGACGTGCATCCATGGATTCTGGGGGTGTGACTTGCACGCTTAGGAAGAAGACCACAGGACAGGCTGCTGGGCCAGGAATCGGAGTGGGCATTATAGTGGAGGCAGTGGGTAGATGCAAGATAAACGGGTGGGAAAGGCTGGGGGCACAAACACGCATGCCCAAGCCGGAAACGTTTTCGGGGGAGAGCAATGCGCATCCCCGGAATGAGGGGGGGTGGGGAGGATACGAGGTGCAAGCCCCGAGGGCGGCCCGGGGGCGAGACAGCGAATGCCCGGGGCCAGAGCTCTTTACCTTGTCGCTGTAATCCCTCAGGACCCGCTCGATAGCCCCCGCCTCGCCGGCCCGGACGATGTAGAGGGCGCGCTCTTCATCCATGGCCGCAGGTGCGGGGGAGCCGCAGCCGCTGTGCGCGCCCCAGCCGCTGCCTCCCAGGTAAACGCCTCGCGCCCCCGCTACCTCGCTCCTTCCCAGCTTCCTTCCTTCCCTCCTTCCCTCCCTCCCTCCAGTCTCCAACCCGCCAGCCTCCGCCCGGGCAGGCTCTACGTCACCGCCCCTCAACTTTCACCCCGCGACGTCACCGCTCCCCCAGCAACCAGCGCCTGGAGGCCTCCCCCGACAAGGCCCAGAGCTTGGTGGAGGCCTGACGAGCCACCAGAGACTGAGTCAGGCCCAGGCCCTGCCTACTCCCCTCGGTCTGCCAGCCTTGGGGAAGAGTTCAGCTTCGCAGAGGGCTTTCTCGAGCAGAACTATCTCTCCTAACACTCTATGAATCATTCCTCCTTAGCGGACGAGAACTGGCAGGCTGCTCCCCGCCCATCTGCGAGCCTACCGCTACTAAACTACAATTCCCGGCGTGCAACGGGGCCATCCCACGCTGTCATCTGAGTTAATTGTGAGCCGAATAGCATGCCGGAATTGGTAGTCATCCAGTACGAAAGGCTGTCCTTTTTCCAAAAGGCATGCTGGAAAATGTAGTTCCCTGAAGACCGGAAACCAGAGTCCTGCGACCGCCGGGGGCCAGAAGCGGAGGGACCGTTTGTTAGTGGGAGGGTCTAAACTGGGTTTTGGCTGGGTTGTTTTGTTTTTGTTGTTGTTGTTGTTGTTGTTGTTGTTGTTTCCTTTTGCTGACCTGCACCAGATGTGGCTGGTTGGACTTACTGACGACGGCGAAACGGCCGGCCCTTGGTAGTGGCTGTCAAGCGCCAGGTCGAGTTCCCTCTATGCTCAGTTAGCGGTTTCCGTCTCTGGAATTCTCACCCTCTTCACCTGGTTGCAGTCCTGTTATGCACTAGGCTGCAGCAACATAGGAAATTGAACACAGTTCTTTGTGGGACCCTAAGAAACCACAACAGATTAAGAAATCTGGAGATACTTATCTTTATCTATCTATCTATCTATCTATCTATCTAACTGCACAAACATATGTGGATATACATATATATAGTATATACTGTATTATAATTTATTTCTGTTTTCCAGATAAATAAATTGAAGCTCAGAACTAATCAGGGGCATACCTGGGATTTGAATTCAGGGAAATTAACTCTGAGAAAGTTGAGATTTGAATCCAGGTCGTTCCCAAAGGTGGCTACCCTCCAACCACTGATAAATATCACACAGCCAGAGTATCAGTGGAGGCAGTGGTGATGGAGGCACATGTTCTTCAAGTGTTAGTTCTGTGCCAGCCACTTACACTTCATCTGGGTTCGCTTAATTTCTCAAAAAATCAAGTATTTGAGAAGTTGTACATTGCTGGACATTACCCAACACAGTGTGGCTACAGTGACCCCCCCAAAGCAAGTCTCAACCTCACTAGGTGGTCTGTTCTTGTGAACATCACCGTGAATGGCCCTGCTGTTCTTATTTTAAAATGAGCAGTCTTAAAAAATTAAAATGCACCGTTTTTAAATTAAGTTTGGACTTGTAGCCTGTTCTCCACTCCCAGGCTCTTTCATAGAGAATAAATGAATTCTTCAAGAAATTTCCAAGTGTTTTATCCTCAAGTAATCATCTTTGTTGCCTTCCCCGTGGCCTCTTAAGCTTTGCTGAAAAGTTAGGAGAGATGTGCAAGTGTTTACTCATCTTCTTGTGTTTCCGTGATACTGTAGTGGATCTGGGGAGATTCAGAGTTAAACAATGTAGAAGCCGATCCCATGGAGCTTGGATTTTCTGATGATTATACTTTTCATGAAGCCAGCGTTTTATTGACTATACAGTCGAACAGTCAACTGAAGAGCAGGAGATGATTGTGGCTTTGTTTGTTGTTATTGAGACAGATGCTGAAGCCAATCAGTAAAGGAAAGATTTGTTTGGTTCTGTCCATAGTTCCTTGGTGTTCTTGCCTGTGACCAGAGGTCACATCATGGCTCCCTGGCAGTGCATAGCAGAAGAAACTGCTCATTTCATGGCAACTGGAAGATCCAGGAAGGAGCTAGGGCCCAATATCCTCTCCAATAACAAGCTGCTGTGGACCTAACTCTTTTTGCTTAGGTCTTAAAGGTCTCACTCCTTCCCAACAGTGTTATGGATTGGGGACCAAGCCTATAAAAAAATGGGCCCTGACATTTCAGATCCAAAGTATGTAAAAAGATGGATCCTATATCTGTAATAAATTAGATCAGAACGATTTTAATATGATTCTCAAAAGAGAATACTTCTAAGAAAGGTCATGTAAACTACAACCCTAATATTAAAATATATAGCAATTCTTTAAGTTTACAAACATTTACTTCTTTTTAAAATAGGTTTAGTAGTTTAAATAAATCATTGAAACAACACCTAATGTATCGTTGGCAAAGGCACTGTTACCATTTTATAGAGAACAGGCCCAGGTGAATTAAGTAAAAAACTGGAAGTCTAACTGAAATCTATCCAGTACTTCATGAAGTCCTATTTGGGTAATTATTTATTTGGGGGTAGTCTTAGGGTTTCTATTGCTACAACTAAACACTATGACCAAACAGCAAGCTGGGGAGGAAATGGTTCATTCAGCTTACACTTCCACATTGCTGCTCATCACCAAAGGAAGTCAGGACTGGAACCTGGAGTCAGGCGCTGATGCAGAGGCCATGGAGGGGAGCTGCTTGTGGCTTGCTTTATGCTCAGCCTGCTTATCAAACTCAGGACTACCAGCCCAGGGATGGTGTCACCCACAATGGGACAGGACCTCCCCCATTGATCACTAATTGAGAAAATGACCTACCACTGGATCTTATTGAGGCATTTTTCTCAACTGAGGCTCCTTCCTCTCTGATGGCCCTAGCTTGTGTCAAGTTGACATAAACCATCCAGTACATTAGTTAAGGCCTCCTGAAGAGAATAAGTAGATAGTATTCCAGTAAAGGTATTTTCCTTTACAAAATGAGGGCTCTCACACACCTTTGAAATGTCTGTTTAACAGAAATTGGCTATATTTTTAGGCTCCAATTCTATATTTCTAAAAAGGAAAATAAAAATGTGGAGTTGAATGAATTAATAGCTTAGGAAATTGTTTTTTTAATAATTTTAAGTGTTTATATTCTGATTTTATGAATCAAAGTATCTTTGACTCTAACTCCGGTCATTCTTTAACCACTGACGAGACTCTAGACCCAGAAAAATTAAGTGACTTATCCAAAGTAAATAGTTAAACTTAGATTCTGGGACTAGAGCCTAGACTAAGCCACTAGATCACTTTACTTCCCTAAATATTGGTTATGTGACACTTTCAGTGACTGGAAACTCTTGCTAGCACTAAATTCAGTTTCTCTTACTGCGTAGGTACTAAGGAAGTAGCATTTAAAACTTCAGAAATCAATGCAACAAATTCTTAAAAGCAATCACTTTTGAGAGATATTCATACAATACTTCTGTGCATATGAACGTACAGTGCTTTCCTAGCCTCAAAGTATTTCCACATAAATTATCTGACTTAACCTTTACAGTAACTGAAGAAATGTAAGGTCAATATGTGAGAGAGAGAGAGAGAGAGAGAGAGAGAGAGAGAGAGAGAGAGAGAG